CGGCAAAGCAGCACCGCATTCTGTAAGATTGCCGGTTGTCTGGTCAATCTTGTTAATCCTGATCTTGTCGGTTCCGAGGTCAGGTACGATCAAGAAGTCGCCAGACGGGTCCACGAAAGCATGATGTGGGTGGGGAGCTTCTTGTCGGTAAGGGTTGACACTCTTGCCAGTGTACTTGAGTGTCTGAAGCGGCTGTCCGCCAGTCAGTGGCAACTTGAAGGTCGTCAATTGCGAGGTTTGGCTTTCGTTTGATTAGCAAAGTTCGTGTCTACTCAATGATGCTGACTTACTAGTGGGCATTCGCGATGAAGCTTCGTCCATCTGGTCCACCATAGAGCGTTGTCGCAACCACACCTTGAGGTGTAGACCCCTTTCCGATTGAGCTCACGTTGCCGTTGGTGCCCACGGAGAAGGATACCAAGTTTCCGCCTCCTTGGCCCTGGAAGACCTCATCTGGGATGTAGAGCGCCTTTCCAGCACTGTCATACGTAATCCAACTAGGCAGCTTGTTGCCAGTAGAGGCCGAACTACTGAGAGTCAAGGCATTGCTGTTAAAAGACAGATAGTTGATGGTGCCGGAGTAGTGTGTCGCCCACAGGTTTGCCGCACTTGCGGCAGTGCCGAACAGCGGTAGAAGGAGTGAATGCGAATGGACCATGATGATTGTGGATGACGAGTCAGGACGTATATGTTACTGACTTTGAAGCACAGGGAAGTAGCATCGTTTTGTATGTTCGACATGTGTTCTTTGGCATTTCCACCAGACCGCTTTGCGTCACGCGCCCGCACTCGACATTTCGGAGCTACCACGATGAAACACCTGACTACACCCTCTTAGACTAAACAACCGACCTCATCATGCGTCTTGCTGAAAGCGAGGGTGCCACTTCAGCCTCGGTGAGTATGCGATTTTCCAAGCCGGTTAAAGGCCGCACGTCGGACAATATATAGCAATCTACAGCCATGTTTCGAGCAGGGGTACAACGTTTCAGCCGGTTGCCGACCCCAGGTTGATCAACATGGTGAAATTACAGTAGCCTTGCATTTCGGTCTTTCATCTCGGACACACGCATCATAAGATCTCTTGGCCAGGCCTTATACCGGGAATGCAGCCGCCACGCCGCTGTCCAACGTCGGTACGTGGATGCGGCTGCCGCGCACTTGGACACGTGCGTGGGTATAGACGAGGTGGCATCTCTTAATCTTTCTGCGACCAATCTTTGCCAAGAGGTAAATAAAACTGAAGCCACCGCTTCTCACTATTGCCGTAGCTTGGAAGTCGTCGTGCGATAGAGGCAAGATCTGTTATTATCAGTACCAAATCCCCTTGGAATCTCCACGGCTCCGAAAAAGGATCCAGGAAAAGAGCAAGGTTTTCACTCTGGGCATTCTCAACCGTTCATCGCAGTTATGTCTCCTGGGTCTATATGTTTTCTTCTCTTCAGCCGTAGTATATTGGGCCAATATGCACCTCATGATCACAATCCACCTCTAGGATTCAAGCAATCCATAAGTATCGCGAGGACGTTAGCGGATGAATTCTTTCTGGGCAGCCAAGCCACTTTCCGACTTCCAGAATGATGAAAGAATACTACACATGGTTGTTTGCAGCCTCCGCTCTCTTTTCTTGCACTACAGCTGCAAACTCTACATTGAGCGAATGCCTTGAGTCTCGCCAGGTTCCTGTATATGCTGCAGGCACCAAAAACTACACTCAGGCAGTCAAGCCCTTTAATCTTCGTTTACCATTCAAACCGGCTTCCTACGTTGTACCACAGACAGTCAAACATGTCCAAGATGCTGTATCTTGCGGAGTTGAGAGTGGTGTCCAAGTCACTCCCAAGTGCGGAGGCCACAGCTACGGATCACATGGTCTTGGAGGCGAAGATGGACATTTGATCGTCGACATGCGGCGCTTCAACAGTGTAACCGTTGACCAGGAAGCACACACAGCAGTCGTTGGAGCTGGTGGTAGATTGGGTAACATTGCTCTGGCACTGTACGATCAAGGCAAGCAAGCCATCAGCCACGGAACATGTCCTGGGTAGGTCCCCATCCTCACCGCCAACACCATATATATTTGCTAACACTCTCCAGCGTCGGTGTAAGCGGTCTCACTCTCCACGGAGGCTACGGCATGTCATCTCGCCTGCACGGCCTTACACTCGACCAACTCGTCTCCGCGACCGTGGTCCTCCACAACAGCAGCGTGGTAACCGCCTCACCAACCTCGTACCCAGACCTCTTCTGGGCCCTACGAGGCGCAGGCGCCGCCTTCGGCATCGTCACCGACTTCAAATTCAAGACCTTCAACGCCCCAGAGAGCAACCTAGTATTCTCCTATAGCCTCTCTCCATCCAACACATCGCAACTTGCCAACATCCTGACCGTCCTCCAAAACTTCACCATCCATGATCAGCCCCCGGAACTAAACATGCGCATGTTCCTTCCCAACCAACTAACCGGCGTATACTACGGCAACCGCAGCGCCTTTGATACCATCATGAACCCGTTGCTCACTAAATTAAACATCCCACTGGAGGGACGCGGTGCGGGTACCGTCTCAGCAAAAGGCTGGATCAACACATTGACATCTTTTTCCAACGGCCCATTGCCGCAACCGGAAATATACGACTACCATGAGAACTTCTACGCCAAGTCATTGATGCCCGAGTACCTCTCCCCCGCTGCCATGACCGCCCTCGCAGACTACTACTTCACGACCGCCCGCAACATCCGGGGTCGCTCATGGTACCTCCTCATCGACATGCACGGCGGGTCCGGCTCTGCCATTTCCAAAGTACCCGCAGACGAAACGTCATACTCGCACCGCAACGCCGTCTTCAAGATGCAATTCAACGACCGCATTTTCCCCGACAGCGCGACGTATACGCCCAAGATGATGGAGTTCTTGAACGGCTGGGTCGATGTGATTGAGAAGGCGAGTGAGGGCGAGCAGTTTGGCATGTATATCAATTATGCGGATACGAATCTTACCAAGGCGGACGCGCATTCGAGGTATTGGGGTGAGCATTACGAGAGGTTGGTGGGGATTAAGGGTGTGTATGATCCGCAGAAGGTGTTTGAGGGGCCGCAGTTGGTGGGCAGCTAGACCTTTTGGTCGTATGAGTAGATATTTGAGTTGAATACGAGACATGTGAACATGAGTATGAATGAGAAAGAAGTGATCTGCTTGCTCGAGAAGAAAGTCTATACGGCCTACAAATACACATTTACACAACTGGATTTGTGTCTACAAGAACTCGATGCCGACGCCGAAGCTCAGTCCTTTCCTGCCTTCCTCCTTGGCCCTCATAACAAGTGGGAGAGAGAAGTTGATCTCGAACCTCGCAACGGGATGTGCGTATACGAGGCCTAGACCAGCTGCCGCACTGGGAAGTTCGGCTGTCAGACTGGAGAAGGACTTTTGAATCGCGCCAGTTACGTCGCTTGAGCTGCCGAATGATCCGTCCTCTTTCTTAGAATTGGGATTCTTGAGTGCGAGGAGCCGGCCACCGTTGATGAAGGCTTGGAGACGGAGAGGTGTCTCTTTGCCGACGCGGGGGATGGGGAGGAGGAGCGATGCGCCACCAGCAGCGTAGATGTCGCCACCTAGTGCATCTGCGCCGTCACGCGGACCAAGACCAGCAATGCGGAAACCGCGGACGTTGTTGGGGCCGCCGAGCTGGAAGCGATCGTTGATGCGCGAGGCCTGTGGCTGGCTCTCTCCGCCCAGAGTCATGGGGTAGAGAAGTCCACCCCGAAGACCAGCAGTAAGCGTGATGCCTGTGTTGCCAAAGGGGAGAGCAACTTGCGACTCTGCCTCTGACTTCCAGTATGCGGTGTCGCCCTTCAATGGACCCCAACCTGCGAGTTCGGATACAGTCTTGAAGAAGTAGCCGCTGCTAGGTAGGAGAGGGTAGTCGCGCTTGTCGTTGACCCAGGTATGCGAGATGCTCGACTTGAACGAGTCACCAGCGTCTGCGCGAACAGAGGGTGATGCGTTCTCAGCCAGACTAGTCACCTGTCGCCAGATGCCGGAGTAGCCAAACTCGTGTGTCGCGCCGTTCTTCATCCTCCACAACAGCTTCGAATTTCCGCCCTTGAGGACTTCCTCATGGCTTGCCCAGCTCTTCAATGTCGAACTCGCGAATCCGTTGACCTGGAACTTGAGATCGGGGTTGCTGAGGATGGGACTGTCGAAGGCGAGGGAGTAGGCCGACCGTGTTCGCGTGCCCAGCGATCCGTGTGCATTCAGCGTCTCGGCTCCACCAAGCAAGTTTCGAAGTTCGGCGTGGACGTAGGCATCGGCTTCAGAGGCTCCAGCTTCGGTTCCAGTCTTGATGGTGTAGTTGCCGCGCTCCTGGGCCGAGATGTACACGTCGACATCAGTGGGGGAGGAAGAGGCGATGGTCTGGTTAGGACGGTCGAGGTAGACTGATATTGGTGACTTGAAGATACCTAGCCAATGTTAGACACATGCAAGCCCCTCTGTCGCGTACTGACGTACCAAAACGGTTGAGCTTATCGGTGGCTTCGCCAACTTCCTTTATCGCATCTTCGAGGGTGTATGGCTGGTCCCGGTTTGCGCTCAGCAAAGGGTCGACTACTCGCTCGAGGAAGGTCCTTCGTGTGCGGTTGGCGTGGAGGATGCGGACCGACGATATCGTCACCGGCAGGGACGAGTTGTCTTCAATCTAGCACAGCCTCAGCAACAGCCCCAATTGCATGTCCAGAATGCATACCAGCTCTCCTAGCCTCTCCTTCGACCTCTGCTGTTGGGCGTAGAGCCGCGCATTGAGCTCATCCTGCTGGCGCTTCTGCTCGTTCAGGTCCGTCTTGTTCTTGAGCCTTTCGAAGACCTTGAGGCCCAATTAGCGATGTGCCGTTACTGACATGATGCACGCCTACTCACATCGTCTTCATGCGGCGAAGCCATTGGGCTGTTTGTGTCTGCGTGCGTGATGCTTGGCGTTGTTCAGAAACCTTGAACTCTGGATCGCCGCGGGCGGCGGATGCACGTGCGCTTACTCTCCAACTGTTCCAAGGTCGTCTAGACGGGCGACCCAAACTCTTTCACTCACGACCTAATTCACCTATCGCGCCTGCCTTTGTGATTCTCGTACTTTGTCCACCGAGGGGTAGTCACTAAAAAACGTGCCACACCTCCTGCACTGTTGTCTGGCCGCCACCTATACAGCGCATCAGATAGTCGACGTCAACCATCTCCGCTCAGGAACACGTCGACGACTACAACCACCCACTCACCCTTACCCCACATTCACACACACCATGGCGACACCAGCAGCTACCAAGCGCCTTACAAGAGAATACGCTTCCATTTCCAAATCACCACCTCCATTCATTACTGCGCACCCTTCGGACAGGAACATCCTAGAATGGCACTACATCATCACTGGCCCACCAGACACACCCTATCACGGCGGCCAGTACTGGGGCACGCTGAACTTCCCGCCCGACTATCCCTTTGCGCCGCCCGCAATCCGCATGCACACACCGTCCGGTCGATTCCAGCCCAGCAGCCGGCTGTGTCTCAGCATCTCCGACTTCCATCCTAAGAGCTTCAACCCCGCATGGGAGGTCAGCACGATTCTGACGGGCCTGCTGAGTTTCATGACCAGCGACGAGATTACTACTGGTAGCGTCCGGGCATCAGAAGCAGAGCGGAAACTCTTCGCCAAGCGCACACGGTGGTGGAACAGCACAGGCGGCGGCAGCAAAGCATCTGGGTCAGACAACGCCGGTGGTCGCCAGAACGGCAACATCAGGGCTGGAGATGGTGGCGCAAAGTTCAGACACGAGTGGCCGGACGTGGACGAGGAGAATCTCAAGTGGATGAAGGAGAACCGCATCGATCCCCTCACGGGCCTACCACGGCCGGCAGCACCAACCCCTTCGCAGCAGCCAGCCTGCTCGCCCGACGTATCTGGTCTGCGACGGCGCCCCGGCACAAGCGCAACGGTTGTTCAGGATGCAGCGCAAATAGCGCGCGATGCAGGTCAAGGCTGGCTGAGCCGCAACAAGTGGAGGATCGTTTTCGGAGCGATGATGCTGTACATCCTAGTCGCGAGGGTACTAGGCGACGGAGCAATCGCGACTCCTGCTTAGACAGACTGGTCATCACAGGATAGGGCATAGTACAAGGATAGTAGGGTAATGCGCATCAGCGGAAGACACAGATCACAATTCATTCAAATCGGCATTTACTTTGGCGTTGGTGGGCGCTCGGCATACCCAAGTTTCACTCAAGCGACCTGTATGATACCTTTGATAGTAGCAAACAAGGACAAGAATATGCTAATATTCTTTCTCCAATCCGTTCTCTTCTGGTCGGTAATGTTTGACTCTAGTGTTGCGTTACGCGGCACCAACTGCCACCGCCATGCCCTTGTATTACCCTGAGACTATCATAATGTCGACACACGGTACTCCGTACCTACCTTACTCCCTATCCACTCGAGCGGACCTGACAACCCAACCACCACAGCCTCGTCGCGTCGCCACAAGTACTGAGTGGAGCCAACCGGCAAAACTAGGCTCCTTACGGCCACGCTAGTCACGCGACAATGCGATGACGCAGTGGAGACCCCCACCAGCCACAGCATTTCCATGCCTCAATCTCAGGCAACTTCCCCATTCCAAGCCTGACGCTGAAATATTGTTTGCTCGGCCTAACATAGGATTTTACACTCGTGGTTCCAATGACACTTCTTCAGACGTCAGCAACCAGCCGACTTGGAAAGTCTAGCTCGCCCCATGTTTCGTGTCCCCCACCCATCCCCGTCCGGTTGGTCCCTAATGTTGAAAGCTCAAGCTTAACAAACGGATCTTCAGCTGTACATGCAGGGATCGCATAGCCGGTGACCAGCAGGGCCAGGGCCGGACGTGGCGAACTACGGCGACGATTGGGTGGCTGAAAAGCTTCAGGTAGGTTACGCTTTACGCGTAAACGTGCTTGATAGATCGCGCGGTGGCCTATGATGGTATGCATGCATGCTTTGTGGGACGTGGGATCGTCGTTTTTTCGTGCAGGGTTTCGGTCCCAATATCGCGGGCTCGAGGTTGAGGATATATAGGTAGGAGGGGTGGAACGCTGGTGGGTTTATTACGAAACATTTCGTCGACGTTTCTGCCGGTTTTCAAGTCATTTGTGTGTCTTTTTGTCTTGTCATCGCTGCTATTGCAATCAAGCATGCGCTTCTCATCTCTTCTCTCCTTCGCCATAGCGAGCGCATCCATCTGCGCTGCGCTGCCAACAGATTTGACCAACTTCCTTCTCGTCACCACCTCGCAGATAGATGCTAGTGCGAATACCTCCGAACTCAAAGCTGTATCCGCCACCTCGTTATTTGTAAGTCTTTACAGCGACGCTCCGAAATAACGTGTCAGAATATCTAACATCGCACAGGACCCCTTCCACCAACCCGCTCTTCTCCTCCGCTTAACAGGCCCCGGTTACGGTTCGCTCCCCAACTTCACTCTGACCGACGGGACGCTTTCCACCATCGCCTTAGCGCCTTTCGGTAACACATATCGTCGTTTCAACAGCACGGTTGTGACAACTGGGTCGGAGTTGCAGTTCCTCGCTTCGGTGCAGCCAACGGGCAATATCGCGTTGGACGAGGGATACCTCTTGACTGTCGACGGTCAGAGGGAAGGCTGGACGATATGTGAGGGTGCTTTGAGTAATGAGGTCTTGAGCTGGAGGGGCAATGCGAGTGATTGCACAAAGACGTATGTGCATGCTGTGTTGAAGGCACCGTACTAGACTCGAATATATTCGGGAGCGTGAATACCTTGGCCAATTCCAGTAAAACAGAAATGATGTCTGATGGCATAGTCCCATGAAAATTGTTTCTCATCCTGTGCCGTTGAGGAACTTGCGCCACCAGACTGTTTCCGCGTCCAGGAACCATGGACTCGCTGCTGCGATTAGTTCTTCTGGTGATGGCGCTGTTCGGGGATCCAAGTGTGCGAGAGCCATGACGAAGACGTCGCAAGTTGTTAGGCTTGTACGTGCAAAGACGCTGTTGGTAATGTGGTGTGGCATGGTGACCCTGACGCTTCTGGTGGTAATAGTGTGTTGGGATGGTATATGTTTGAGCGAAATCGTATCGGCTATACGGCGGTGGAGACCCGACGGCAGACTGAAGAAGGCGAGGGTGTTTGTCAAGATATCGGGATTTTCAAGGATGAAAAGCTCCGCAGTGTACTGAATGATATGTCTATCATCGGCCGTTGCATGGGTGATTTATTTCGTTTATGACGAGGGTCAGCCGTTCGCGCTTTCCATTCGATTCTCACAGGTGAGAGCACGGTGTAGTTCACCGCCTGTCCAGAGGGTTGTCGCCAGGTCTCGGCAGCGGCGATGCCAGCTGGAGATCCCACGCTTACTTCCTGATAGGGCAGTGCGCGATGCGTCCTCGTTGTTTGCCTCTTTCGACCTCCACTAACAGGCTGGAAGCTTGGGAGCGAGATATGTACTGTTTGCCGAGGCAAATGGCCAGTGATACCGACGTCGTGATAATTGGTGGGACTAGCACAAGCTGCGGCCCGTTGCACGCGTGCTGACAGTCCTGTGCGGTTCGCCACGGTAAGCCTCAACAAGTTGATGAAAGGCTGGCGTTGGCTTTGTCGCTTTGTTGGTTTGATGGCGGTTCGACGTCGAGAAAGCGGAAGCGAGTATATCAGAGTCGTGGTGTTGATGCGCAGTACGTACCTGCTAGTACATGTAGACATATGACATCTTGTCATGTTTATAGCAAGGGCAGCTGCCCGCGTCAGCAGGTCCACCCACGCGATCTCATGCAGGAGTATCACTCTGCCATCTCCACCAACCCAATAGTCAAGGCCCAACTAGGAAAGCAACGATGGGGTCTGGGTGCGGTACGACTCGAAAACATCGTTTTCCAAGATGATGTTGGTCTGTGACGAGGCCATAACTGTGCGATACTGTGATGCGCGTTGCGATTGGTAGGTGGTGTGGTGTCGCGTCGTGCTACTGGTTCGCTTACTCGCGGTGAGCAGCGAATAGAAGCCGAAAGCTTCAAGTTAGACACCTGAGAGGTACTCAAGTTGCTTTTTTCAGAGATGAGCGTGGAGACGACCATGGGTGGATATGCAAACTTAGGGGATGTGTGAATACTGAGGTCCGAGTTTCGTAGCGAAGCGAAGCGGATGTGGATGTCGCCGAAGATGGCGGAAGTTGGCAGGTTCAATCAAGAAGCTGGGATGCTGCTCAAGAGTGCTGACAAATGTTCCAGACTCCTCGGAGTCAGTCAAGGAGGTAATACGATAATAGAAGATTTTCATGGCGCAGTCTGAATCCAACGAGATAGGCTGTAGTATGTAGCGCGTGTGTCTGACGTTCTCTTCGAGAGTGATGCCAACATCTTCTGCTACATGGTGATGGATGAGTCCATTTTCTTACAATCCAAGGGCACCTTCAGCCTGATGGTCTGGGCTCAAGCCGAATTGGATTGGATATTGCGAGACGTGCGACTTCATTATGTCGCGACATAGCCCAACTCATGTCCTCAGCGTCAGTATATGACAAGACTTAGCTATCAAGTACCTGCAGCATAGCCCTCAAATTTCCGAAGGGTATCCGCTCGACAAATACCATCGGTTTGGTTACAAACCCCTTTCGGAAACTTCGAGAAAGACCATCCATGTCGGACAAGCCCTGTTCCCCAATGTTTAAGCTAAGCTCGGGATAGTAGAACCCTAGTAACAGTGCCTAGGACCCGCATAGGATGGCTGATGAGGGTGAGCTTATCATCACACCATATCAACGTATTGAAATGTAGTACAGGCTGGACGGTCAAAAGCGAAGCTCCGAGACCTACCTTAGATCCAGTCAGGCTGTCAAGACAACATTCGTATGCGGCCGTCGCTATACTCGGTATACTTAGCCAGCAGTCGTGTTTTTTTCCCAACTCTTACTCCCCTTATGCACTCTTGAAGCGTGGGCTCGGCAGTGGATGCCATACCGGAAAGCGAAGATACACGGCCCGGCGTTAGGAATCAGTATCATCTGGAGAACGCCCCGAATTACACAAGAGCTGCTAAGATCTCATCGACGCGAATTGCCGCCAAAAGGAGCATGCTTGTGATGCAATGGCGCGTCGTACGTCTTGCAAAGGCGGAAGCTGTAGAAGAAATGAGAAAGTTGTGGCCGCTTCTTACCATCTTGTACGGACGGAATTGCTGGTTGTGCTCAGGCTCATCCGCGCGGTGGTCATGGGTATACCTAAGGCACCTTGAAGATGCAGTAATCCTTAACGAGCCCCGCATCTTGATGGAATTGCTCTCCTTGGATCTCATCTTGGCTTCGCCGATTTCGAAACCAAGCCACAATGCTGCGCACGCCCGTCAGCAGAGAGGCCTCGGAACTGTCCTTAACTGACATCGCCGGCTGTGTTGCTCAAAACAGCACTCGATGCGCTCGTCTGTTTAGGCAGTCTTTACAGAGAAACGCCACTCCCATGGTCTAGTCGAGTTGTTCGCTGGTGTTGGTTTTTCCCAGGACGCGGAGTAAAGCCAGCCGAAAACTGGGGTCGACAGTTGGCGGCGCCGCTGCATGCTTGGCGCCTCCCGCCTCTTACGTCGCGATCGCAACCTCCTGGCCTCTCTTGCCATCTCATCTCGAAAACCACTGCACTTCCAGCGCGTTCTATGCATCACTTTGTATTCGAGGGTTGGAAAAGCATTTTCGCTTGCTGTGTACGTATTACTAATGTCAAAAATTGGCCGACAAGTATGTCCCCAAGATTTCACCTTCATTGTGCTCGTGAGAAGATCGTGCGATGCCGCGCCTCCGCCCAGGCTTGAGGCCAGCGCAGGATTCACGCTTCGGTCTATCTTTACAGTTGATGTCCAGCAACACGTGGAAAGTTGAGCGTTCGAACGTAGCGGAACCGAGTACCTGATCCTTGAATGCGGTTCGAACACGAAGGTCATCATCTGCGGATGATTTTCCATATTCAATTATGGTCCGAGATGATAACCAGTACCTGCTCATGTCCTTGTCTCTACACCTGCGGAGTGCCACACACATCAGGGCGGTTTCCATTCCACAACGTTATTGGCCTTTAGTACTTGGACGCCTTGCCAGTGCAACACCACGGGGCCGGAGTAGTATTGGCAGGTGCCATTGCACTGGGAACAAACACGGCGTGGTGTTTGCTCTTATTGGACGCCGTTATGCACAACCATTATGGAGGCCACCCATGCATGCACTACCCCAGGATGTGTTGCCGGTTTCCTGTAAGATCTGCATACGCCCTGGTTCAACACCGGTTTGCGGGGTCACAATGCTCTCACATGTAACCAACCACTTCTGCTGTCAGCAAGGCTACAATCGGGCGGTAAAGAGTGCTGTAGTGAATACTAAATCCCAAGACTTGCCGCACAGACTGCCTCCATTAGGATCACTCGCTCTCTCCGCGCTCTTGGGACCATAAATCTGCAGCTTCCCAGCTCTTGACTGTCCTCTCTCTCTCACATCGCCCCATAACTTTATCAACCCATACTCGTCACAGCGACTTGGCAAGATGAAGGTATGTCCTCGTTCTCCCAATTGCTCTGGAGTGCACTCGCTAACAATGGCGCTACAGTTCCCACAAATCTACAACGTCTACGCCATTTGCGGCTTTGCCGCGCTTGGTGGTATCCTCTTCGGTTTCGATATCTCGTCGATGTCGGGTGCGCTGGGTACTCCCGCGTACAAGAATTACTTTGGCAACCCCAGCGGCACTCGCCAAGGTGGTATCACTGCGTCGATGCCGGCGGGCTCTCTCGTCGGTGCTCTGTCTTCCTCCTTCCTCGCCGATCGCCTCTCGCGTAGGAACGCTGTCCAGATTGCTGCTCTCATTTGGATCATTGGCGCAATTCTGCAGGCCGCCTCCAACGGCGTTGCTCTCCTCTGTGTTGGTCGTCTTATCGGTGGGTACGCCATTGGTATCTGCTCCGCCATCGTCCCAGTTTACCAGGCCGAAATTGCGCCCAAAGAAATCCGCGGTAGAGTGGTGTCCTTGCAACAATGGGTATGTCACTTCTCGATACATGTATGGAACTCAGACTGACTCCAGCCAGGCCATTACCTGGGGTATTTTGATCCAGTACTTCATCCAGTACGGCTGTTCCTTCGTCGATGGAGGCGTCAACAACCCGAACCAGAGCACTGCGGCCTTCAGGATCCCATGGGGTGTACAAGCTGTTCCCGGCGCTATCCTCTTCATCGGATTCTTCTTCTTCCCTCGTTCCCCTCGATGGCTCGCCTCCAAGGACCGCTGGGAGGAGGCCCTCCATGTTCTTGCCAACCTCCACGGCGCCGGCAACGTCAACCACCCCAAGGTTCTTGCCGAATACAAGGAGATCGAAGAGGCGCTTGCGTTCGAGCGTGAGATTGCTGAGACTAGCTTCGCCGCTCTGGCCAAGCCCCGCATCGTCAAGCGTGTTATCCTTGGTATGTCCATCCAGATGTGGTCTCAACTTTGCGGTATGAACATCATGATGTATTACATCGTCTTCATCATGCGTGGAGCGGGTATCGCCGACGAGCTCCTCACTGCATCAATTCAGTACATCATCAACGTTGCCATGACCCTACCAGCTATCCTCTATCTCGACAAGTTTGGTCGTCGCCCAGCTTTACTTTGCGGATCCTTCATGATGGCTGTCTGGCTGTATACTACAGGTGCTCTGCAGGCTTCCTACGGTATTCCTAACCCAGACACTACCGATAAAGACATCTCCTGGGTGGTACCTCGCGAGCACAGCGCCGTTTCCAAGGGCATTGTCGCTTGCTCATACCTCTTTGTGGCCACGTTCGCGACCACGTGGGGCCCAACGTCATGGACGTATCCGTCCGAGGTAAGTTCCGACTGTGGGGAATCCATGTGAAACGTACGCTGACTTCGTCTACCTCTGTAGATCTTTCCTGCCAAGGTTCGCGCGAAGGCCGTGTCTCTCGCTACCGCCGCCAATTGGAGCTGGAACTGCATCCTCGCTTTTGCCGTTCCCCCTCTTCTGTGGTCGATTAACTGGAAGATGTACATGATCTTTGGTACCTTCAACGCCGTTGCCTTCATTCACATGTTCCTGACTGCCCCGGAAACCAAGGGCAAGACCCTTGAAGAGATGGACGACGTGTTCGACTCTGGTCTTCCTGCCTGGAAGGCTGGCAAGGTTGAGTCGCGTCTCGACCGTGTCACCCGCGACATCGAGGCCGGTAACCTCAAAGTTGGACGTCTCGGCCACGACCACGGTCATGTCGAGAATGTTCACACTGAGCCCAAGGTCTAAACGGACATCTTTAGCGATACCGTCTATAGAATGACGATTGCTGTATCTTGCCACCTTTGTTTCCGGGTTGCTGGGACTAGATAGGCTTTCCAGCGGTTTGTTGGGTTGCATTCGGTTATAGAGTTACGGCCATCGTCGATGACGCGGTTCACGACTCTTCCTGAGCAACTTCAAGTTATCTCTGACACGGGCAGCCACGTAGCATAGTCCGTGAATCCATTCACTAATCCCTTGTTCCCACAATCGTACCTTACTATTCGGGTTTAAAGTGTTGACAGCTTGCACTAATCACGGAAGGCCTACACATGTAGCTTAGCTGACATCGAGTGATAGGTTCGGGCTACAAGAGCGAAGCGATTATAGTCCGTCTTGGAAGGCAAAAGCGCCGACAAAGAGCCGCATATTCTTGGTGCTGCGATACTGCGTTTCGCGTCCATGCAGGGGCTGTGTGAACCAAATTCCATCGCTATCAACGATTCCCATTGCGGTTATGGGATGGCGCAAGCCCAAGATGCCGCAACACCAGGGCCAAGGGCGTTGGCGATATTAGGGCGCACGGGACCGGTGCAGCATGCTCAGCCGTCCACGGACCTCATGCTCTCGGCGAATACCGTGGCAAGGTGGTTGTAGCAAAGAGAACGAGTGGTTCGCTGTTCAGCGTAAGAATGTGAGTGAAAACCTTCTCATGCGCTGCATATGCAAGAAACGACCAGAAGCTCTTGACATGGACGCCTTATACCTGTTGATCCCTTCTGGAAATATCGCAGAACGGCACGGAGATGGACGATAATCTACCCAGGGTTTATTTCCATGATGGGGGCGACCGACAGAGTTTCGCTTCGGTTGAGTCGCCGATTTGACGCGAAAGCGAAGAAACCACTCAGGTACAGGTGCAACCCAACTGGGCAGCAAGGTAAGTTTAAACGCACGAGGGGCTGGTCGTTGGATTCCGACTGGTTGCTTTTTCGCTAAATTATGCTGATCCGATGTTATCGATGATGGGGAAGCAGATCCGGCGCCCCGTTGTGGAAATCCACGATCATGTCATGCGCCACTAGGTCCCCCGGGCCCAATCAACGATCACTAGGGACTAGCATTTGGGCTTGCAAATCCGCGCCCCCGTCTTGACCCTGTCTTCAGCTGTATGGTTCATGACATGGCCAAGTGTACCAAAAACGCCACGAACCCGTCAGGCATCCATGCACCGAGTCAGTCTCTGGGGTAGTGTCCGCAACGCCTTCTACTGTTTGCGTTCTCCTCATGGTGAACCGACTGCCACTACTGCAACCACACTGAATTATAGTTGCAACATGTTCGCTGATCAGCATCTTGCAGCCTCTGCGTCAATCAGCAAGGCCACCAACACTCTCTTTGATTGAAATACCCCAGGATTCCACGTGGATATCGGATTCTCCAGTTCAGTTCGCTATCTTAACGAATGCGCTCTTTACCTCACCCTCATTCATCTCATTACTTACAAAGGCGACGGAGAGACACCTGACTACCTTCACCATGTCAGACAAAGACTCCGAGTCCGGCGTCACTGGCGGTGTCCAGGCCAGTCTTCCTATCCTTATGACCATGTCTGCATTCCTCGCCATTGGAATGTACAACATGGTTGAGATTCTCTTCCTTATCTTCGCTGTCTTCAAACAACGCCGTGGGCTATACTTCTGGAGTATGCTCATTGCAACAGGAGGAATCGCCCCTCACGCCATCGGGTTCATCCTCAAGTTCTTCCAGGTCACGAAGCTTGACTTGCTCTCGAGCGCCATCATCGGTGTGGGCTGGGTCACCATGTGCCCGGGACAGTCTCTTGTACTGTATTCACGCCTGCATCTTGTTGTCGCGGACGCCAGGAAGATCAGATGGGTGCTCTATATGATCATCTTCACCGCGATCGCTCTCGGTGTCCCTCTATTCACCTTCGCCATGGGAGCGAACTCCAAAGACTCCGCGAAGTTTCTCCCGGGATTCGAGATCTATGACAAGGTCCAGATTGTTGCTATATCAGTCCAGGGTAAGTGTTTCTATCCAAGCCGCATGCGAGACATAAACTGACTTTGTACGCCTGTAGAAATGGCCATATCTGTCATCTACATCTATCGAACAGTAAAGATGCTCGATGGAGATTGTGGTCGACGACGGGGATCTCTACGAAAGCTTTTTATCCACTTGATCATCGTCAATGTCGCAGTCCTGGCGTTCGACATCACGCTTATCGCAGTTCAATTCTCCGGCCACTACGAAATCCAAACCACATACAAGACGGCAATTTACAGCATCAAGCTCAAGATTGAGTTCTCTGTCCTCAACCGCCTTGTCAATCTTCTACAACATAAGAACCTCTTCGGCGATGCAGCTACACGTTGCCAGGATGTGGATAGGTGGACGGACAGCAAGAGGACGTACAGTTCGAGCAACCGTGGCGGATTCACAAAGATGGAGGAGAGTAGCTCGATGGCGAATAGCGACAAACATTCTTCGGTCGTGACATGCCCGGCCAAGGTTGGTTTCCGCAGGACAGGGAAAGATGATGTGGAGTTGGACGACATCCTGGACGATGCCACGTTGTACTCGGAAGGCAGCAAGAGCCGAAACAACTCAGGTTGTCAGGGCGATTGTCGCAGTCAGTGTTGATACCCAGGTAGTGTACCCTAAAGGCGGATCGCTTACTTTATAACGAATTAAATAACGACATAATACACCCCACAACGCGTTCACTGTGCAGTTGAATGTAGCTATGGCATGTGTCTTGTCGCAAAGTATTTCTGGATCCACAGTGTATGGAGATGACCCTTAAACTTTCTCTCCCTCCCATGAGCCCGAGACAACAGCACTATTTGTCCACCAACAACTCATTGTGGTACCTGCCCTATGACATAGATATGCCGCAATATCGTCTTACCTGACCGGTCTCACCCTGATCCAGGCGAAGTTGTCTCTCACTCTCCACAGCCACGTTTGATCGCCACCCTTATCGGGTAGCTTCTTGCAATTCCGTCATGTATATAAGTCATCTATCGTGGGAGAAGCTTCTTCCATCCTCCATCAACCTGCTTGTACCTTAAAAGTCAATCCCTTCTAGCATAATTCGTTCATAAGCGACTCAAAAAGCCAGAATGGGCGTCACCGTGCAACAGCCAACCACTCTACAGCCAGCGCACGTTAGACCACCTCCACCAATGGCACCTCAGCAGAAGTTCACCTACTCTGACATGTTCCTCGAGATGTAAGCAGCTGATGTCGCAGCCTGAAGCGGCTCGTCTAACATCAATAAGGATCCAGGGCAACTCCGTCACAGTCGTCGTGGGCCAACACCCATCATCTCGGACCTACACCCTTCCTGCTGCTTTACTCTGCGTTCATTCCATTTACTTCCGCGATCAAATCGCTCGTATGAACGCCACAGAGTCAAAAGACCACGCAGCTAGCAAGAAGCGCAAACTCTCCACTTTGCAGGACGATAAGAATGCGAGAGACGATAAGGTGCTGATAAAAGAGGAAGATAGAGAGCCTTCTAAGGAAGAAACTACGAAGAATAACACAATGAACAAGGGAAATATCATCACGCTACCGGATGTGGAGCCTGCCATTTTTGGCCTCTTCCTCAAGTTCATCTACAAGGACTCATACCCACCCAACATCGACGCGAGGCCGATTTCAAGTAACTCTCATCGCTATCCACGAACAGCAGTCACAAAACTGACAACTCCCGTTCCAGCACCTCCCGTAACACCTCAGCAACTACCCTCTAAGACTCCGCTCCAAACATACGTACAATCTACTTCCATACCAGGCCACCCGCTCACCCACCTTCAAAGCCCAGTCCCAACGACCATGCCACCCCCTCCTATTCCACACAACATAACCTCTCCGCAAACCATCCCGCCCTCGATCCAAGCCTGGCTCCTCGCCCAACGCCTCGGCGCCCTCTCCTTCATGAACCACACTATCCAACACATCTACTCCGGTATAGGCTGTTACTTCGCCCTCACACCCACGCTCATCGACCACGTATGGCGGGAGACCACACCCTCATTCTCTCCCATAACGACGATCCTAACACCCTCCCCCCTCCGCAACCTCCTCCTCCACATCCTAACATCCTACTGGTCGCAACCCCCTTCTCATCAGCAGAACCCCAACTCTATTATCATGCGCTCGCTACCGGGGTACCATGCGAATGCCTCGAAGGGTCTCAAGGACGCGTGGGATAGGCTGTTTAATGAGCATAGGGATCTGAGGAATGAGTTCATTCATGGACTGCAGGCGGGTCCGGGGCAGCTGGGGGTTGTAGGGGCGTATTTTGCTAGTTCGACGCCGGTGGTCGTGAGTGGTGGAAGTGAACGTGGAGGCAGGAGTGAGGCTGCGAAGAGGAAGGAAGTCTTCAGGCCAGTGGTTCGGGAAGGAGCAAATGCTGCGGCTAGAAAAGAGAAGGGCCATGAGGACTGTGTGATTATCAAGGAGGAGAAAGATGATGAGACGAAGGTTTTGGGTGAGGCAAAGGAGTTTCAGGACTGAACGGATAGATTTCTCTGTCTTCTGGTGGATATCTTCTGGGGCGACATGAAAGGTTTTGTGAGCGGATTTGGGGTCAGAAGTATACAAAAGTGCAAAGCTCAGGCCAACTATGATTCTGGGCAAGGAAAAGTTGGCGCATCGATCATAGAGTCATTACTCCATCATATTATATCTACGGTGATCGTCGAGTGTTTACATTATCTTCTCATCTCCTCATTACTTTTACGCACCCCTTGATAACCTTACATTCCTGTCCAATCTTTTCATATGCACGTCGTCGCTTATCGCAAATACCGTGAATGTGCGACCCTTAGTGAGTCCAAGCATCAGCAACACGCTCTTGCCACTCATGTTCCATATCCTCTGCACACTGCTTACAGACTCCCATACGGCAGACACTAATGTCGCACTCCCAGAGCTCTTCTTTGACATCTTCGTCGCACCGGTCACAGAAAACAGGAACAGAGACATGCTGTTTGTAACCAACAGAGGTATGCAGGTAAGGTCGGACTTCCAAGCTGTTGATGGCGACCTCGTCGGGTACAGTCTTGAGGTTGATGGGGTGGAAGATATGGCCGTTATGGAGGCAGTAGTGCTCTCTTGACGAGGACCTGGGCGGATGAGGAGGTGTAGCGTGGTCTTCTTTGGGGAACGGGGCAGGAGGAATTTGCTGATCGGCAAGTACATCGAAGTCGAGACGTTCGGATAAAGGGCGTTGTTTGGTGTGGTCGTAGTCAGACATCCAGTCTTGGACAAGAAGACGTGACTCGTCGCGGGGCAGCTTCAATTTCTTGTCCTTGTCGAGGCGGTTGAACTCGCTAGCGGAAAGGGGGCCACACATTACGGTAGGCTGGACTTCGTTAGTTGCATTTGCAGTAGGTGAGAGATACTTACGCACCTCCACATGCTCACTGCGTTCGTTAAATGGACTGATCTTCTCGTCATGTTGAAAGTAGTACGTAGGCCTGAAGGGCGCCTTAAGCTGACTAGATAACGCCAGCATGGGCAGCGGGTTGGGCGGTGCAACCGGCGCGACTCGTGCAGGTGGTGCAGGTGGTGCAGGCGGTACAGCTGGTTTCTTCTTCCTAGGCAGAATGTCGACAAGCTTCACCATACCGGGTGTGACACGCATGAATGGTACGGACGTTGCGACATGTACGGTGGGCTCTTCGTCCAAGTCAATGCTACTGCAGATAGAGATCAAGTCATCGTCGTCGTCGCTGTCAACCTGGCTATCCGCACCACCGCAACGCTCACACTCTTCTGGGGCGGCGTTCCAACGTTGTGCGGCTGCGAAATCTGCTTTCATGGCTTCGTTAGACACCTTCAGGGTAGCGTATGTGGTGTCGAGAGTGAGTCTATCAACGTCGTTTTGGTTTTGCACAGCCTTGCTAACTGCTAGTCGCGCCTCTGCTTCGTCAAGCAAACGGTCTTCAACCATTTGCAGTGGGCCGCGGAGGCGGAACACTGTAGATTGCAGAGTTGCGCCATTTTTGACATCAATCTCGTTACCAGGATGGGCTATGAAGTCTTCTTGTTCGTCTTGAGCTGCCTCATCAATGACCTCGTCTATGAGCGAGAGGTCGTCCTCTTCCAACTCGTACCTGATATCTGTTGTGAGCAGTGACTCATTACGTGACCGAGATAGCGGTGCCTTGGGGGGAGCTTTTGCGTACTCGGAGGTAGCGTTCAGCTCAGGATCACGTTCGCCGGTTTTGTAGGAAGTGCGCAGCTCATCGTGTGAGGTCTCCGTAATGGGTGCCATCCTATCGAGCTCCTTAGGGAGCTTCTTGCGCATACGTCTTCTCGGAGCTTCGGGAACAACGGGCGGAACTGGTGGGAGCGAACGGAACTGACCATGGCGTTCGGCCGTCGCTACTACGGTATGTATCAGTATGTTCTTCTGGACGTCGCGCTAGAGAAACAGCTGCGATGCGCCCCATATCAGCTTCACGGCTAGCATTGGATGGAGCAGATGGAAGTAAGCCTAACATTCGCTGAGCTTTCCGGTTAGTGTTATTCCAGAAGCCCTTGGGCTTTGATAGCTCCATGTCAAGGCCCTCTTCAGTGAATCTCGTCTGCCTATTCGATGCGCTCTTCTGAGTGGTTACTGCCGACATAGATCCTCGCCTTGTCGATACCGGGCGTATCGGTAGGCTATCGTAGCCGCCATCGTTTTGAGCTGGACGGCCTACAGAGGTACTCCGGGGTCTACCAAGGCTAGGTCCAGGGTCCACGCCCAGCAGTTGTGCAGCTTTGCTAGGTGTCAACGGCGGGTAGAGGCGACAGCTGGAGAGTAGGCTCATGGGAGCTGCTCGGGCGGTCTTGATCCTTTGACTTGAAACCGAATTTGCCATGCCTCTTCTTGGCCTCCGTGACTGTTGTCGATGCGCTTCCTGTTGTGGGTGTAGGCGAATGGGCGGCCGGAATACTCGAAAAGCCATCAGATGGGCGCGATGGGAGAGGGCGATGACGATCGCCTGGAGAGCCACCGTTGTGTGCGTAGGAGTTGGCCATAGGACTTGAAGGCGCAGAAGAAGGTGAAACATGAGAATGTTCAACTTGATCCGTATGCTGTGCTGCGGTGATACCACTCGCATTCTCCCTCCCGGCGAGTGAGTCAAGACCGAGATTGGGCGTAGTGTTGGAGCGCGGTGCGTTGGAACGGCGCGTGTTGCGGCGTCTCTGACCGCCAACCATCACGGCGGCAGGGCGCATGCTCCAAGCGGGGTTGGCGGAATCAGGAACGACCATTATCCCAAAAGAGGTATCTTGTCGTGCACTGTAGGGTAGTGCCGGTTGGCGTTGGTGCAGATGCCGGAGTCGAGTGTGTCGAGGCAATCAACCCAGAACAAAACCACCGACCTAGACCAAAGAAGAAACGCGACAACTATCGGTGCATTGGGAAATCGCAATCGGGTTGTGGTTGTGGAATGTTGGTGATCCGCTCAAGTGGTGACTCGACCACAACAAACCGAGCTTGGAGCTTGTCCACCAACAAACGGAGCGTGTTGCCGCACAATAGCGGCAGTGAATGAGGAAGGCGCGGCATAAATGTGACGTGAGCGAGGAGAAACTCGAGATCAGCGAGTGAAGAAGGAAATGAGAGAATCAGTGGCTTCCGATATGTTTACTACGTACGGTGACGTCTGTTGAGAATACGCAGACTTGGGATAGAGCATGTAGCGACGGAAAGAACGACCCCGGCAAAGAGAATTATAGAGTTAATAGAGTTAAACCATGCTACGAGAAAAAGAAGACCTTTGCTCCTACAAACCATGTAATAAGATCTGGGGTATCTTTGTGTACGCGATTGTGCTACGATCCATGACTTCGCTCGTGTAGCATCCGTCTCTGTGCATTGATCTCAAACCCAACGTCACGTAACACCCACTGCACCCGAGACCGAAAGCGCTTGACTGACCTTCAAAAGAAGTCGAAGTGTAGACGAGGGAATTTTTTTGAACGGGTGCTACACGCTAGAAACGCGGATATTGTCTCGACATTGCAACTTCGAACTCCTGCGTCTAAGGCCTGCCATCGCTTGTCTGAACACCGACGAACTCCATGCTACGAGCCCGTTGTATGTTTGTCGCTCTTGGGGTGCTAAGTCTCGCGACCTGCTCAGTGACAGTGCTCTCACTTCTTGCTCGCCCGGCCTCTGGCGACGCAGGAATATCGATGGAACTCCTCAACCCAACTCCGCTGATCCTACCAGCAGGGGTTACTGGTCTTGCTTCCTCAGAAGCCTTGGATGGGTCGTCAGTCGACTCCATTGAGTCCGGTTCGCGGGGTCAATGTAGCTGACTTGGCCGACTTAGCCGACTTGCTGCTTGGACTTGCACCAAGACCTCGGTGAACCTCAAACTGTGCTGGATCCATGGAGAAAGTCGGAGATGTCTGCATCGCTTGTGCCTCTGCCGTCCGGTGTCTTGGGTGGGCCTCCGGAAGGACTTCGAGGACTTCTGGGCATGTTAGGCTGGAAGAATTTCTGGACAGCGTTACGATCGTCCACTTCATCCTCCTCGTCGCTAGTCTCCCCAAGTAAATACTGTCCCAATCGCCAGACCCCACACTACGGGTCGAGTCGGGTCGTGTTCGATCTCTTGGGTATCCTCAGACTAGGCGGCTTGAGCGGAGTAGTTCGTCGGCGACTTCCCTCATCCACATCAGTGCGCTCAATAGGCGGCTGTAATCGCTCCTGTCCCTTGACCATGTTCACGTCTTCGTAAGGGCTTATTCACGGCTTGCGCCACGGTCAAGGGCGGGCTCCTCTTCATCCCGCGTATTCGCCGAGTAACGTGTCTGCGAAATGCGTATCGCAAAGATGCTTGACGACAGGCCATCGTAAGCCTATTAGCAACCTACGACGTACTATCATGTTGTTGTGAGCGTCGGGCTCAAGGCTGACAAGTACTTTACGCCAAGAAAGGTCTTTGTGGTAAGCGCGAGCGATCTTCTCTTCCACGCGCATCACACTTTCGTCGACACTTGTTGTCGATGCCTTGGAAGCAGTACTGTCACCAGAGAAATTGCGTGCTGGCTCGTTTTCGTAGGTGGCGGTGGAATGTCTTCAGGATGGTAGATTCTGTCATGGAAGATGGTGCGTGCTCGTGTGGATGGGTCTGTGATCCAGGAGGGGAGGAACAGGAGGGTTGATCAAG